CCCTGTTTTCCAAACAGGTTTCTTATTTCCACAAATTTTTTGAACATTGATCCACCGCAATGAATAATAGTAGTGGGATAACATTTCGATTTGTTATCTGCTGCATTTCCGAGTAATTTTCACCCGATTCGCCTTGAAAAATATATGATTGTGTTGTGGAGATCTGGTTTCTTACTCAACTCCATCCCCTTACTATCTTTCATGTCGTATACCTGAGTGCCTATGCCTATTTACCTCATTCCGCTCTTTTCCTTCATTCCTTACCTCCACACACCTATTATTAAATCTTACCTAAATTTTATCCATAATTTCAATGAAAATTTCAGTGCAAATACTGACAATAACGTTATTCTAGTGCACTTTTTCAATAATGCTATTACTTATGGCGCACTTAATAATATTAGAATATCACAGCAATGGTCTGTAAATTATTTCTGATTGTTGCGTTCATTTTGTATCCTTCGAGTGGACCAGTGGATTGTTTTTTAAACAGTTGGCAGGTTCTTTCCGACTGTGGGTGCCGACAGTGTTGTCAAATTTGTGTCAACTGGCAGCTACCCTGTGTACAATCTCCAGCTACAGATTTGGCTCGTATCTACGTTCTAGATGAGACAGATGTAGCTGTCAACTTCTTGCAAACTAGCATCACATACATGCGAGCATGTCGGTATTTGCAACACAGATCTTGGCGAGGATTTTTTTAGACCTCGTTTATCTGAGACATTTCGTGAGTGAAACGCTTTCTCGTCGAAGATATAGCGCTGGCTGTAAGAAAGAGGAGAGTGAAGAGCAGCATGCTTGAAACATTTTTTAACAGCAAATAAAGATAGGCACTTCATCTGAAGTCACTATAGTCACCAAAAGAAAATAGAATTCATTAGCCGAGCCGTGCTGTTCGTCTTGCTGACAGTCGCTGAACGCCGCGCTTCAGTGAATTAAAAGTGTTCATAAAAAGGAATGCGAAATGTTTTCGGTGATAATTTTTCTGCAGTGAAGAGTGAGCGGACGCATACCGGAAAAGTGCAGCTCCGGAGAAATGATGCAGCATAGCATAGATTTCCCCCGCTCGTGGCTATATCAGTAAGTACCGCGGAACTTCACAACATTCTAAGAATATACAAGTAATTTGCTGGAAGTAATTAGAAAGGGCCAATCGCTGGATGCAAAAAAGTGTAGTAGAAAACCTATGCTAGTGTAGTAAAAGCGGATAGTGAATCCCAGACTGCCCGCGGGCATTTGTCGCGTGAGATGATATGTGATCAATGCTGCTCATCCAATGACTCACATTCAGGTTCAGCGACAGAGGAGGTAGAACCAGTGCTGCGCTCAGCGTCTTTGATCCACGCATACTCCGAGAGACACGCAGCCACTGCTGATGGACGATGCTATAACGTGATCGCTTCTTCTTCCAACAATTATGACTATCATCGGTGGCTCTCTCCTAATTACTTCACTGTTCATTTTTATCCGTGCCCCCGAAGCCCGTTCTGCTTTAACTTCCGACACCAGAAGCGTGAAATCCCTGTGGCGGACTCAAATAGCTCCAGGTGGTCCTAGTATCCGGAATTTTTACTCGAAGAAAAATATTATAATTCGCGATCCGAGACAGTTCGGGATTATTGCAAGGAGTAAATCAAGCAATCCGGTAGTCGTCAATATATGCTCGCAAACTACTGGAATTTTTTCTAAGGACTGTGAAACGGCTAGCTCTTCCATTAATTATCAAAAATCTTTGGAAATACGACGAGGTGATCCACTGGGAAGTAGCAAGATCAACGATTTGGAGAAGCAGACTCTGCATCGGGGAAACACTGGTAATTTTAGATTATTTCTGCTA